TTTTCTACTAGGTAATTTAAATATTAAATCTCCAACCACACTCAAATATAATGCCTTTATGTATTAATAACTGATAATTTTTATATGATTTTTAAAATTTGTGTATTTTATTTTTGTATTTATACCTTGAAATATAATGTGTTTCAACAGTGAATTTACATCTAAGACTGTAATTCATCTAAATTATGTCAACAAAGTTAAGAATGGGGAAATCATCCATATGCTACCTGTAAACTTTTGAACTGTTTTTAACTTGAGTGCTTTTGTGGTCTGAAGTATCAGGTTAAAGTTTTTTCCAGTTTTTCTGGACCCAACATCTAATATATTTAATTTCTACTCAAGCTTTAAGTAATTTGCATAAGCAACTGACTGACAAGGAGAATTACTACATTAGAGTCTTATAAAAGGTCTATTCTTTTAAGGTTTACTCTATTTGTGTCATAGTTGTTATATATGTATTTATATATATGTATATTTTTCTAAGGAGCTCCTTCTTTGTTTTAACAACATCTTTATTCTAATTTATAGCAAAGAAGCTGTGAAAAAATTTGATATCATTTGTTTATCAAAATATCTATCCACTTTGAACGTCATTAAGCTGCCCTAAATTCATTAAAGAACTCTCTAAAGCTAATCCCTATAGTAAGCAGTCCAACATGGAGCTATTTTTACCTTGCTATCTTGCCATTTGTTATTATCTTATGTTTATACTTGTTCAGCCAACTCACTGTCCTTGTGACAGTGCTCAGACGCACGTCAATTTGAATTCATTCTGCAAGTCAATAACCATGAGATGTGGCATCGAATGTTTTTCTTTACTTCAGCCAGAAAATTTGTATTTTAGTTGCCCAAACTAACTAAATCTATCTGGTAAAGGATGCTTTTCACAAGTTAAAAACAATAAAACTATGAAAAAATATAAGATTGTGCCCTTAAAATAAACTTTTTGTTTTTTCAGATGTATTAATGAGGATTTTACTCTAAGTGCTATCAAAATGTTCAAAAATTTTAAAAATGGCAAATCTATTTTTATCTCTCTGGAATTTCTTCTGAATTTTAGCTAAGATCAGATAATTCAAAAAAGAAACATTAAAACTGGAATTTGTCACAGGATGATGAAACATGAAAGTTTGAAACAACGTAATATGTTTAATAATTAACCTTCAACATTGTTGAAAGATATTTATATGAAGGGGGCTGAGGAAAATATGATTGGGCAGTTAGGAGAGTCCATCTTGAGAAATGAGCTTGCCTTATATCCTAAGGCACTTAAACTTTACCTTTAGGAAATACATGATACAATGGGGAGAAATGATCAGTTCTATAATCTAGAAAGTTTACTATGTCAGCAGGACAGGGGATAGATTTAAGGGGAGCAGAATTGAAGCAGATATACTAAATAAGTTGCTATTTTAATAGTCCAGGCAAGGGATGATGAAAGCAAACTAAAATAAATACAAGGTGGACTAAATATTTAAAACCAAATTAAACTAAAAGTAATAAAAAGAAAATATAGGCAAATATTTAACTAATATCTGGAATTAAAGGGTTTCTAAGTACACACATATTTAACAAAAATCTTGAGTTGAAGATAGATACATTTAGCAAAACATGTATACATGTGTTTATGTGAAAATATTTAAACCAAGCTAATATCAAAATTAGTTTCTCAAAATTGAGAAAAAGTCTTCTATAAAAGTAAAAAAATGATTTAAATTTTTAATTGTGTGAAGACAACATGAAAATTAATAAGAAATATTACCAAGAACTTACTAAGAAAAACTAGCAAAGATCACTATGAGTAATTCCCCCCAAAAGAACACAAACTGATAATACATATAAAGTTTATCCACACTATTGAGCAAAGGTATACAAATTAAATTCAGAATAACACACTGCTTCTAAAACTCAGAGTAAAAGTTTCTGTCACCAGTTTACTTAAGGCACTTATAAATGGTGAGCTCTTCTGATTCTCATCAATTTATCGATCTTCATAGACTTTAAGGTATGTACACTTATTTTGTCATTTTTTTCAACAAATATTTATTAAATGCCTCTTATGTTCTAGGGAATGCCCTGTGCATTGAGGATATAATGATACTTTCCACTATTAGGAAGTATGTAATCCTGCCTGGATGAGTTATTTAATGGGGAAAATTTTATTTCTAGATAATAAAAATCCTATTAATTTATTTTAATGTACTTCTAAGTCTGAGTCTGTTGCTTCTTACTCACGAATCTGGGTCAATGTTTTACTTCAGGAACAGGCAAAATTAAGCCATAGTATCCTCTCATTTGACAATTCCCATGTTTTCTGAAACTTTGTGTAGATAGCCTTAAGGGCATCATAAAATATTAAGAGAGCTCGGTGAACCTTCTGAGGACTTCAATGCCTTGGCCATGAATTGGTTATGAGTGTTAGCTCAGTTCACCTGTGTCTCTTGATGGTTGTTAAAGAACTGGAGTTTAAATACTAGCATAAGAGTCAAGACTAGTAGGAATGGTCACATAACTCTGTCACAGGAAGACTTTTGGATTCTCTTGTTTTTTTCAACCTGAGTTTTATGTTAAAATATTAATTAAAAAGAAAACAATAAAACTATGTTCTGGGACTAGTCAGGGCATGGGGAACACAATGGAGAACTTGACAGACAAGATTCCTCCTCTCAGGCACCTAAGGGCCTGGTTTCATACTGCTCTTGATGAACTTTCCTTGTTGGGGCTTTCCTTCCTGACTTTAAAAACAAAAAGATAAAAGTTCTTGTTTGTGCTGGGGACATGGCTTTATTATCAGGCACAAGGAGTATCCTCAAATCCATTCTAACTGGAGTCAACCTTAAACCATCAAAGAGCTACAGATTTTTTCTGTCAAGGGGAAAGGAAGGTCCCTTATTGAATTGCTTTTACTGAATTAAACTCTGCCATATTGGATTCAGACCAACTACCCTTAATCCAAAATTATGTTTAGTGGAAGCTATTCAACTGATCCAATCATTCAGTTTCCTAAGAGAATAATCTTACAGTATTTAAGAAAAGCTACAATGATTAAATGAAAAATAGTATGGGAGCTAAATTGAAAGTTTTCTAAAGCTATAGTTAACATAATTTCATAAATTTTCAGACTATAATTATTATGGATTTTCTAATGACATACAAATTTAGAGAGTTTTTTTCCCCTCTATTCTGGTGTG